TCCCTGATAGTTCAATGAAGAAAGAAGTAACAGCTTATACCTTGTGATTATTGTTGTTAATAAAAAAATAAAAAATTATTATATTGTTAATAAAGCCACATTATTATTAATAATAATAATATTAACAACAGGAAACATTTACAACATATTTGCTATGTGCAAGGCTTTATTCTAAGTACTCTATATGCACCATGACTCATCTAGACAAGACACTCTTATAAAGGCAGTTACTGTTTATAGATGGGGCAAAAGTATTAGTTTCTCAGTTGGAGAAAGTAACATAGGGAATAACAAGAGGATAGTAATCTTTTTCTTTCAAGTAAACTCTGTTGTTTGTAGTATCAGTGGTATCACCTTTGCGACCCCATGGACTGTAGCCCACCAGGCTCCTCTGTCCATGGACTCTCTAGGCAAGAATACTGGAGTGGGTAGCCATTCCCTTCCCCAGGGTATCTTTCCAACCCAGGAATGAAACCTGGGTGTCCTATATTGCAGGCAGACTCTTTACCATCTGAGCCACCAGGGAATCCTAAAGATGGGCTACTGAGTCCCGAACCAGGTAACTACCTGGATTTGATCTACCAAATCCAGGCAACCCACCTTCAGAGTTCAGACCCTTCTACACCACCAGAGACTTCTGGTGGGCCTGCTGGTTCCTACATTACCACAGTGGGTGCCTTTATAATCGTTCTAGTTATTACTGTTGACTGTTTGCTTGACTAAGTGATCAATTGAGGGGAAAAGTAACATAGGGAATAACAAGAAGGAAGTAATCTTTTCCTTTCAAGTAAACTTGATTGTTTGTATTTTTAACAATAGTATCATCTTTCAGTTCAGTTCAGTTCAGTCACTCAGTCGTGTCTGACTCTTTGCGACCCCATGAATCACAGCACGCCAGGTCTCCCTGTCCATCACCAACTCCTGGAGTCTACCCAAATTCATGCCCATCGAGTCGGTGATGCCATCCAGCCATCTCATCCTCTGTTGTCCCCTTCTCCTCCTGCCCCCAATCCCTCCCAGCATCAGGGTCTTTTCCAATGAGTCCACTCTTCACATGAGGTAGCTAAAGTATTGGAGTTTCACCTTCAGCATCAGTCCTTCCAATGAACACCCAGGACTGATCTCCTTTAGGATGGACTGGTTGGATTTCCTTGCAGTCCACAGGACTCTCAAGAGTCTTCTCCAACACCACAGTTCAAAAGCATCAATTTTTCAGCGCTCAGCTTTCTTCACAGTCCAGCTCTCACATCCTTACATTACAACTGGAAAAACCATAGCCTTGACAAGACGGACCTTTGTTGACAAAGTAATGTCTCTGCTTTTTAATATGCTGTCTAGGTTGGTCATAAGTTTCCTTCCAAGGAGTAAGCATCTTTTAATTTCAGTATCACCTTTAGGAGTAAGAAAAGTAGAAGGAAGCAATTTGAAGCCAGTTCAGGAGGCTTTGATGTTGCAGATGTGGTTAAGAGGACAGACACTGAGCCAGAATTACTGAGGTCACCATCAGCTTTACCATCTACTAGCTGTGTGACCTTAGGCAAGTTACTTAACTGTTCTGAAGCACCAGCTCTCATCTGTAAACATTGAGGCTAATCATAGCACCTACTGTAGGAATTTCGAGGTTGTTACAGTCACTCAGTCACGTCCAACTCTTTGTGACCCCATAGACTACAGCACACCAGGCTTCCCTGTCCTTCACCATCTCCCAGAGTTGCTCAAACTCATGTCCATTGAGTTGGTGATGCCATCCAACCATTTCATCCTCTGTCGTCCCTTTCTCTTCCTGCCTTCAGTCTTTCTTAGCATCAGGGTCTTCTCTAATGAGTGAGCTCTTCCCATCAGGTGGCCAAAGTATTGGAGCTTCAGCTTCAGCATCAGTCCTTCCAATGAATATTCAGGACTGATTTCCTTTAGGATTGACTGGTTTGATCTCCTTGCTGTCCAGGGACTCTCAAGAGTCTTCTCCAACACCACAGTTCCAAAGCATCAATTCTTTGGCACTCAGCCTTCTTTATGGTCCAACGCTCATATCTGTAAATGACTACTGGAAAAACCATAGCTTTGATTATACGGACTTTGTTGGCAAATTAATGTCTCTCCTTTTTAATATGCTGTCAAGGTTTGTCACAGCTTTTATTTTGAGGAGAATAAAGTTATTCCAAATGGTGGGTATAAGTAGCAGGTGCTCAGTTAATCAGCTATAAAACAAGGAAACAAAATAAACCAACTATACCTGGAGTTATGAGTACCAAACAGCTCTGATCCAGGAATGGAGAGAGGGTGGAATAGGATCATACATGGAGAAGCGTGTGTGCGTGCACGCTTAGTGGCTCAGTCGTGTCCAACTCTTTGTGACCCCAGGGACTGCAGCCTGCCAGGCTCCTCTATCTGTGGAATTCTCCAGGCAAGAATACTGGAGTGGCTTGCCAAGCCCTCCTCCAGGGAATCTTCCCAACCCAGGGATCGAACCCAGGTCTCCCACACTGCAGGCAGATTCTTTACCTGCTGAGCCACCAGGGAAGCCCATGTGGTAAAGCAAATGCAGCCAAATGTGACAGTAAAGCCTAGGCTGCAGGTATGTGGTATTCATCATGCATTCTTTCAGAAGAACATCTTCAAGATGGAGAACAGAGAGACCCAAGAAAAGGACTTGTCATATCTTGCCACGACAATGTCATATGAGGATATGATGCTCAGAGATGTGGCACCATCTTGGGATTATGAGTGAAAAACAAGAGAACCACAGAGACACCAACCCAGAGATCTGACATTACTGAGTCACTATGAGGGACTTGGGACTCCCCAAGTTCATAGGTTGAAGCCCTAACTCCCAATGGGACTGTATTTGGAGATGCCACCTTTTGGAAGGTAACTAAGGTTTAACTGAAGTCATGTGAGTCAGCCCTACTCCAATCTGACTGGTGTCCTTATCAGAAGCGGGAGAGACACGGGGAGTCCAGCAGAGACGAAAGGCCACACGAGGACACCGTGAGAAGATGGCCACCAACAAGCCAAGGAGAGAGGCCTCGGGAGGAACCAAACCTGCCAACGTACTGATCCTGAATTTCCAGCTCCCGAGCTGTGCGAAAATGAATTTCTGCTGTCTAAATCACCTAGTCTGTGGTATTTTGTTACGGTGGCCCTAACCGACTAAAACAGTCACTGAATTAACCAACCTTAAAATTATCTATCAGCTGCCTTCAGTTATGGAATAAATGTCCTTATTGCTTTAAAAGCAATCTTAGGTTTTTCAACAAATGGTTCTGGAACAACTGGGCAATCACACACACAAAAAATGAATCTAGACACAGACCTTACAAACTTCACAAAAATTAACTCAAAATGGATCACAGACCTAAGTGTAAACATTAAGCTATAAAACTCATAGACGATAACATAGGTGAAAACCTAGATGTCCTTGGGTAAGGTGATGGCTTTTTAGATATAATACCAAAGGCACAATCTGTGAAAGAAATAATTGATAAGATAAACTTCACTTCATTAAAACTAAAAACTTCTTCTCTCTGAAAGACAATGTCAGGGACTGAGAAGACAAACCAGACTGGAAGAAAATATTTACAAAAAACACATCTGATGAAGAACTGTATCCAAAACATATAAAGAACTCTTAAAACTCAGTAATAAGAAAATAAACAACCCAATTAAAAATGGACCAAACATTGAAATGTATACAAATAATAATACTGGAGAGAGTGTGGAAAAAAGGAAACCCTCCTTCACTACTGATAGGAATGCAAATTGGTGCAGTTACTGTGGAAAACAGTATAGAGGTTCTTCAAAAAACTGAAAATAGAGCTACCATGTGATTGAGTAATCCCACTCTTGGGCATATATCTGGACAAAACTATAATCCAAAAAGATACATGCATTCCTCTGTTCATAGCAGCACCATTTATGAAAACTAAGACATAGAAACAACCAAAATGTCCAATGGCAGATGAATACATAAAGAAGATGTGGCATGTATATATACAATGGAATACTACTCAGTCATAGAAAGGATGAAGTTCTGTCATCTGAAGCAACATGGATGGACCTAGAGATTATCATACTAAGTGAAGTAAGTCAGACAGAGAAAGACAAATACCATATGATATCACTTATATGTGGATTCTAAGATACAAAACAATGAACTTATCTAGAAAACGGAAACAGATTCACAGACATAGAGAAGAGACTTGTGGTTGCCAAGGAGGAGAGGGGTGGGAGAGGGATGGATTGGCAGTTTGGGATTAACAAATGCCAATTATTGTATATAAGTATAATGAAATCACTTTGCTGCACACCAGAAACACTCTGATGGGGGATGTTGATATTGGGGGAAGGGGATATAACACGTGTGGGGACAGAGGGCATATAGGAAACTTCTTCACCTTCCTGTCAATTTTACTGTGAACCTTAAATTACTCAATCAAGTCTTAATTTAAGAAAAAGAAAATAGAAAAAACCCCCACAAACCTAGTTCTGCCCTCTTTTGGGTAAATTCTTCAACTTTTACAAGGCCCAGTGCCTTCTTGTATAAAATAAATGTAGTAATAATTTCTACTTCCTAGAGTCAGTGTGAGAGGTAAATGAAAGGGCTACAACAATGTGTTTGGCACAGTGGTCAAAATTAGAATGTGACCACTTCTTTTAGAAGCAGACAGTATACAAAAGATCTTTCCACATTATTGTGTTGGGTTTTTCCACTGGACTGAATGAAGAAGGGTAGAAGGGCTCAATTGTCATTGTCTCATCAGATGGGACCAGACTGCATTTCTTGAAGAAGGCCAAGATGGCAGCAGGCCACAACCAAGGGTTCGGTGCACCCTTGGTCTTATTTCCCACGTCTTGGTGTTCAGAGCCAAGGTCATCATGTCCGCAGACCACCAACCTCACTTCTCAGCTCACCTCCCTCCTGAAGCTCTGATATTAACCATCCTCGACCCAAACCAGAAAAGCAATCCACCGGAGCATACCACCCACGTTCAACCACTTACCCACATCGGCCCCGCTGAGTGCTTTCCCCAGTGGCCAGGGCCTCAAATCCACTCTCTTCCCGTTAACAGTGAGTGACTGCACACAGCCTTGAAGGCCTCGGTTTGTCCCTGTTGCTCTCACCAACCAGTAAGCGCTGGGAGCTCCACCAAGATAGAGAGGTGTCCGGAAGGTAATTTTACTGTACTGGCCCTTTAAGAAAGATGGAAACCATAACTCACTAAAAAAAGTCAAAAGCTACAACACACCAGATGAGGGACATGATTAAGATGCAATTTAATGTCAGTATGATGATCTCTAGGTCCATCCATGTTGCTGCAGATGACAGAACTTCATTCATTTTATGGCTGAGTAGTATTCCATACGACCACATGGATTATACAGTCCATGGAATTCTCCAGGCCAGAATACTGGAGTGGATAGCCTTTCCCTTCTCCAGGGGATCTTCCTAACCCAGGGATTGAGCCCAGGTCTCTAGCACTGAAGGCAGATTCTTTACCAGCTGAGCCAACAGGGAAGCTATATATTACCACATCTTCTTTATCCATTCATCATATATATGTGAATGTCTATGGATACCCATATATCCAATTTATGAATATTTTTCCACCCATATTTATCTTTAAGTCATTGTCCTACTGGAAAATTAAACCCACAGTTAGCATTGGGAACTCAGAGAGCTGTGTTTTGAGAAGGGATGACTTTGGAATGCCTCGAAGGGAAAGGAAGGTCAGTCAAAGCCGGAGTAAGCCAACAGGCAGTGTACCGTGCTGGGCATCCAAAACAAACTTTCTCTTTCCAGTCCTGACACCAATTTACTGTGTATCTTGGATGGGCCATAGGACTATTCTGTGTCTCCAAAAGTGATAATACTAATTTTGTGTATATGTGGGCTAATGTTTACCCTTTTACTATCCCGGTCACCTTTATGCTAGATCCTGCAAGAGGCATTTGTGAGAGAGAGGGAAATTGCCAAGACTGACTGAGTTGCAAAATATTTTGAAATTTGCTCATGGATACGTTTTTTTTTTAAAGTCTTATTACAGCTAAGTAGGGACATTTCCAATCTTAGACTAAACCACAATCTGGATTGTAGGTTTTGAGGTTATAAAATACAGAGTTGAACATGAAGAGGGACAAAATTAAGGTGCTCGTGGTTATTTGTTTTTTATTGCAGAAATATCTCATTTGTTTGAATTAAAGGATCTAGAGAAGGGCTGGGTAAAGGCATGCTGCCAGTAGTTATAAAATTTCCAGAATGTAAGCCACTGAAAAGTAATCTTTACCCTTTATACTTTTGTTATCAATAAGTAAAACATCTAATCATTGCTTTATCTTTTCTAATGAATAGATAAGAATCATTTATAAATAATATATTAAATGTGAGCTAGGCAGCTTTGACATATTTACAGTGGATTTTAAGGGTTAATTATTTACATTTTTTGTTAGGTGAATTGAGTGTCTGGTTGACTTATTTCATCAAGATCCTCAGGATTTACTTCTTTTGGATCCCATCCTCATTTCATCCCATCCTCTGACCCCATTCCCTGATCCAGGACCACAGCAGGAGCCCAACGGCTAAATCCTTTTCTTCTTTTCTGGAGCATTAAGTGCACCATAGGGGTGAATAGCTCCTCTGAGGCTCCCTTCAAAACAACCCAGACAATAGCCTTTGAGCCTAGCCTTTATCTTCCTCTAATGAGCATTACCTTTGGGTCTCTGAAGCCTGTATTGCCTGCCTATGGAAAGAACTGGTGGTACTAGAATTTGCATTCCCTCAGCACAGCTCTTAACAGGTTTTAATGGGTGATTAAGTGTGAAAGTCCAACTCTGTTGCTTTGGGTTGGCACTGCTCTGAGGTACAACTTACACTCCAGAACTCCCCTGTAGGATCAGGCTAATACCAGATCCTGGTAAACTTTGCCTTAGATCTCATTCTTACTGACTCCCTTGTTCATTTTAATCCCTTCTATCACAGGTTTCCTATGGAATTCCTTTCTTAGTGAATCATTTGCATAGACTCATCAACTCAGGTATGTTCTGAGTATGTTCCCCCAGTATGTTCTGGGGGAACTCTGACTTAAAACGGATCACTATCTCTCAAGACAGTTTCTTAAACACTCTACACTTGCAGTCTGACTTATACAACTTGCTTAGCAAATCCTGGTAGTAGAGAGGCAGATGTTACCCTGAGTATCCACAAAACTATATACCTTTTGTAATTAATTATTATATTCAATAAATCATATCCTCTGAAGGCAATTCTATCTGAGGACTAGAATCACTGTTGTGCATGCTCAGTCATGTCTGACTGACTGTGACCCCATGGACTATGGCCCGCCAAGCTCCTCTGTCCATGGAACTTTCCAGGCAAGAATACTGGAGTGGGTTACCATTTCCTACTCCAGAGGATCTTCCCAACTGTTAGAGTACTGCAAACTATATACATAGGCATCAGAATAGAATAGGATTATCACCTCCATTTTTCTAGATGCTATGCCTTTATTAATGTAACCTATAATTTCTTTAGCATATTGTTATCATATGGCCCTATTTATTAACCTTCATTGAATTCCCTTGTTTTAAACTATATGATACTTATACATGTGTTTCTTCTGTTACAGCTTCTCCACCTTGTATTCAGGTTAGTATTTTGAACCCAAGCTCAAAGCTTCTTTATTTCTATCAAATTTAATTTTAACCATAGTAGGCCCATTGTTCTGGCATTTATTAAGTCGGCAGTGCATTTATCCTCTCTTTCCCTTCCTTAGAAATATATGTATATCTGTATAATGATCTTCTTGGATTCACATTCACTACATTTGTATTCTTGTTCCTTTGGAACCACTGGGATCCAAATGATGAGGTTTATTTTTTCTATTTTTTTTTTTAGTAGCAAGTCATGACCCTTTATACAACTTGTCTTGTCAGCAAAGAATATGGTGAGCCTAGGAAGGAGAAAGCTACACACATATACACAAAGGCTTTCTTGCTACTTTTTTCCTCAGAGAATACAAACACCTGCCTGATTATAATTACAGACTTGGTTCCTTGGCAGGTTGCTAATCCAAACTATTTATTCTGAACGCAGTCCTCAAATTGCTCAGAGCATGACAAACATGTGAATACCTAGGTGATGTGCTGAGTAGCCCAACAGTTGAATTGTTTTACCACTTCCTATAATCATGGCCCCAAAAAAGGTGGATGAATGGATTATGCCTGCATATTGAACCAAGTGAACCTCTCGGGATGATTTTCTACAGCCACAGGATTGCAACACCTCTGCCTTAAAAGCAAGCTTTATGTTTGGCTCTAGTAATATGGCTTCAACTCTTCCAATAGGGGTCTTCCTCTGCCTCTGGCTTTGATGTTCTTGTAGAAAAAGAACATGTCCTCAGGTACAAGGCCTCCCGCATGTCCCAGTGCACCCAGGGCCATGATGTCGGCCAGTCCCGACATGTCGGTCATATTCAGTGAATGAGTCCCCCTCCTTGGTAGATGTGGGAAGGACATGAGCCCTGAAAGCCCACCTTCAATGGAAAAGCTGGCAGGGGCACATCAGAGCTGGGTTGCCTGTGTATACCATGCAAAACAGTCCATCTGCCAGCTCTCTGCAGTGGGACCCTCCTGGAGTGCTGGGCAGAGGCCGGGAGTGCGGCGCACACTCACCTGGGACTGGCCTGTCACCGGCGTGCCATTGTTCAGCTGCAGCAGTCCATTCAGCCCATCTCTGTAGAGCGTAACAGTATGCCAGCCCCCGAGTTTGATTTTGGTCTCACTTACAATGATGGCGACCCCAGTTCCACAGTTAAACCTGTGGGGGAAGAAAAGAAAAGGAAAACTCTTAGATCAAAGTGCAAGTGAAAGTTGCTCAGTCGTGTCCAACTCTTTGCAATCCCATGGACTACACAGTCCATGGAATTCTCCAGGCCAGAATACTGGAGTGGGTAGCCGTTATCTTCTTCAGGGGATCTTCCCAACCCAGGGAATGAACCCAGGTCTCCCATATTTCAGGCAGATTCTCTACCAGCTGAGCTACCACGAAAGCTCACTACTGTGTTCAGACTCAATGGACATCACTTCCAGGGCAGTAATAGCTTCCCTGAGAGCCAGTCTGTTCAGAGTTAGGTTTATGGATATCAATGGCTGTTTAAATCCACATACAGAAAAACTTCCTTAGGAAGACACCTCTTCCCTAGAACCACCTCAGTCTTGTTGTCTTAATCTGCCCATAGAACCTTTCAACGTGGGGCCTCCTTCAACCCGACTTTCTCTGTAGCTTAGAGAATCCTGGGCAGCTATGATTCTCTCTCTCCTTCTCAGGGATGGCCGGATACCAAACATGGTTTCAAGGTGAGGAGAATTAGAGCTTGAGTCACTCTGCATCCGGGGATTTCTCTGGGGACTTCCCACAACTCCCAAATGACAGCCTCAGTGATATTAATAAAATGTTGGAAAAAAAAAAAACCCCAAAACGAGTCTTCACACTTATTTTGGCAAGCTGGGCAGCACTGCCATCTGTGTTCAGCTGGGCCTGAGTGCAGGTGTGGTTTCCATGGGAAGCTGCGGCTCAGAGCGGGTGTGGGTGGAGAACAAGCATTCTCAGACAGTTGCATTATTCTTGTTTTTTTTTTTTCCCAACCTCCGTATGTCCTGGGGTGCCCTCCGGTCACTATGCCTGACATCTAGAATCTTGACCCTGTCCAGCCAAGTTCTAAGCAGCCACCATAGCACCTCCCCCTTGGGTCCCGAGGCTGTCAGAGGGGGACATTGGCCATGACACATAGTGCTGTCCTTTTCAGGATGCGCACTAATTGCAGCCTGCTTCTCATGGCCTCCCTTTGTCTCCTGATCCTCAATATTAATGGGCTGGAGAGGCATTGCAGAACTGGCTCACCTAGAGGTGGTGATCTCAGAATCACACAGTAGGAGTTGCAGAGATGGACAGCTGCTACTAGCAAATAACCAGCAGGGCGAGCGGAAGTCCTTCAGATCCTCCAAGCGTTAGAGCTCACGAGGTTAGGGACCACTGCCCTGCATCCTACTAGCTGAACTCAATCTCCCATCAACCAATGCATTTAGCAAAGGATGCAGGGGGCAGGGGGCATTTTCTACCCCATGTGGAATGCTTCACAGACAGTCTTATCTGTATTAACCAAAAGTAATTTTTGTGCTGAAATTATCAAAAAACAATAATGGTTGGTGCTTACTGAGTGCTTGCTATGGTTCAGGCACTGCTCTAAGTACTCTTGTGTATTAATGCATTTAATCCTCACAGTAACGCTGGGAGGTACCACAGAGTTGGAGAGGTTAAGTCACTTGTGGAAGGTCAGGTCGTCAGGGAATGTTACCATGGGGATCTTGACCAGTAAGCCATGGAGAAGCACTTGGCTGACCTCACCAGATAGTCCTATGTACACCTCTGTGAGGATGATTAAAACACTCGCACATCCACAGAACTCCACCTCCAGAAAACCACACAGAAACCAAAGGTGGGTGGCTTCCAAGATGCACTGGGACACAAATGATCAGGGCAGAGGAGGTAAGTCAAACAGTCCATCCCAGTCTGGAGGAAAGATGAGGATACGGTCTGAGTCTCTAGGAACTTCCAGGAGGCTGTGGGCTCCTCTCTGGGCTCTGTGGCTGTCAGCTGAATCTACTGCAGGGGACAAGAAGGCACCAGCCTTCTTCCCATCGCATCCACCAGAGCTCCGGGAAAGAAGGAACTTGATGGGCTTTGGCTCACCGCTGCATCCCCAGGCAGTACAGCAGTGCCAGGTACATGCAGGGGCTCAAGAAAACATTTGCTGTTGAGTGAATGAATGATTACAAGGTTCCAGATTCAAATTTCGGAGCTTACCCTGCAATCTTGATACTCCAGTATTTAGTAGACTGGTCCAGGCTCCATAATACACACAATTCCTTTATTTATACTATAAATCGAGTATAGGTTTTGTTCACAGTACAGAAAGGAAAACATATTGTAGGGTAGCATTAAACATTCCAGGGGGTTTTGCCAGGAATTACCTGAACTGGAGAGAGCGCCGGATGACAGCCAGGGACATGAAATCCCCCCTCCCATGCTCATTCTCCCCGCAGTAGAGTAGTAAGCCGTCCTCCGCCTCTGCCTGTTACACAAACAAAAGCCACATGAACAGCGAGCATCTCCTCTTCCACAGAGGACTACCCAGAAACACTCATGGATACGAAACTTGAGCATCTCCACTGAGGTCCTATTTATAAGCATGCATGACTCCAATTAATTCCCAGGTACATAGTTCTAGTTCATTTTCAATAAACAGGGGGCAGGGATATAAACAGTGTATGAGGAACTTGGCAGTGACGTGAGAGGAAGGCGGCCCCATATCTGACCCACTCTTTACTCTTCCTGGACCCACCAGCAGAGCCTCAGGAGACTGTGTGCACAGAAACCATGGTCCCATAGGGGCTGCTCTCATCCTCATCAAACTCTATTCTTGCCAAAGGGCATTCCAGTTTCTCCTTTTATGTTTTAACTTCCCAAGCAAATTTCCATCTTTCCTTGCATTGGGAGAACATGACAATACAAGCAGACCATGGACTAGTTTGGTTTTCACCCATGCTGCCGGTCCTAGACTGAGACAAGTCATCTTGTGGATTCTCAACACTCTGACCTTAAAGGGGACTTGTTTCCACATCTCCAAACCTATTCCTGTCATCTGAGATACCCAAAAGAATCCCTTTAAGCTGAAGGCACTGCAGCTGATTCAGATCAGAGAGCATCTATTGGGCTGTCTCCATGTGCCAGGGGTGCATATAGCTATTTTTCTATCTGTGCAGGTGCAGTCATAACAAGGAAGGTTGTTTGGGCTTCTACTAAAAGGGATTTGGGGATGAAGAACGCATTTATGCCTTCTGAAATCCTGGCCTGGTCATGATTATGAAAGTCAACTGAAAAAAAAAAAGCACAGCCTAAGAGTTGAGAATTATGTTTTATTTGATGGACTTGATGAAGACATTGTGCCCAGGGAATAGTCCCCCAGAGCTATTAGGCTTAAAGTGTGAAAGTGTTAGTCACTCAGTTGGGTCCAACTCTTTGGGACCTCATGGGCTGTAGCCCAACAGGCTCTTCTGTCCACGGAATTCTCCAGGCAACAGTACTAGAGTGGGTTGCCATTTCCTTCTCCAGGTGGTCTTCTCAACCCAGGGATTGAACCCTGGTCTCCCACATTGCAGGCAGATTCTTTACCATTTGAGCCACCAGAAAAGCCCTTTAAGTCCTCAGCAAATCTGCTGAATGAAATGTAATTCTCAACTTTTAGGCCAACATGCGAAATATGGCTGGAACCCAAACATTCTCCTTGGGCACTTTCAGACCAGCCATTTCCATAGTTCAGTAACACACACAAATCACTCTCCCTTTGCTGCTGCCCTTGAGTGTGCAAATGTGCCCGTCGTTCTTGCTGCCCTGTGAATGGGTTTACCCTCTGCTTCCTCTCCCCTTCTCCTTCTCCCTTTGATGCAGCACACTGTTGCATTAAGATGTCCAACAGTCACTCAACAAAGGATTAATCCTTCTTACCCTAAATTCAAGAGTAATTTGAAATGCCTGGTAAGAGTTCTTCAAAGGTTCAAAGGTTACATAGGAATGACCAAAGAACTGAGGATATTGTATAACAATATCTGAAAAAAGAAAAAGACAAAAGAATGCTGTTTGCTCACTTCTTCAAATGCAAAACATCAATACACAGCACCACTGCTTGGATGTTAATTAAGTAAAAACCCCTGATAGTCTGTTAAGCCTAGCTTACCATCATCATTTCTCTACCCTTTACCCCTTGGCTTCTCATTCCTGGGGGCATTGAGCTTCTGAAGTTCTTAGGGAGAAATCAGATCTTTGGAGATTGTTACTTGCCACTCTAAAAAGAAATCAGTGGCTTTAAGGCCACTGACACCTACTTCACATTGTAGAACTGTGTAATATACGTTGGCTCAACTAGTATCCTTTCTAACCTTCATGCAGATTTCTGCTGTATTTTTTTTTAGAAGAGGTGTCACAAAAGTAAACTCACCCCCAAGGTGCCATTTGGATGATTTATGCATTGCTCCAAAAGGACTACATGTTTGGCACATACAGGAATAGGGCTGCTATTCAACTAGAAGCAATGGAAGACTCACACTTGCCCTGTATTGCTAACTAGCTAGTTTAATAACTAAAACATGGAAGAAGGGGCTTGTCTCAGGAAAAGGACAAGAAGGAACCTTGTGTGAACTGCAGTATTGCTCTCTGGCTCCCTGCAGGGTCACCACCATGTCCCCAGCCACTCCCCCAAGCACCTACCTTCTGAGCAGCTCTCACCACCTTTGCCCAGGTTGCAGTGGCATCGAGAGCCCCCCCAGGTGTAGTCATTGACACAAAAGCTGTCAGCAGAGCACAGAGTCTCATCACAAGACATGTCAAAAAGCCTTGGCATCATAGCCACACCATCCTTTCCTTTCCTGTCCATTGGCGTGGGCTGGGGAGCCACCGCAGTTGTGGGGAGAGATGCTGGGGTTGGGGGGACACGCCTAGAAACAGTCATCGGGTTCGGTCTAGGTGCCATCTTGGATTCCACGAAAAATTTCTTATTCCCTTCTTTGATAGCAGGAAGTGGTTTAACCTAAAGACAGAGAGGAAAAGAAGTTCAGGATCAACATGGAGCACAGTAATTAGACTGCCTTATTTATGCTTGATGTCTAATACATGAAACTACAGTTATTTTGATATTTCCCAAAACCTTGGGAGGTAGAGACGGCAAATAGTACTGACTCCAGTTTATGGATAAAGAACTTCAGGCTCAAGAATTTTAAGTACCTTCCTTTGTATTACTCAGAAAATCAGTGCTAAAACTGATATTACATGACTTATCTTTATTACAACATCATTAAGGCACATTACTTTTTCAAGGAACTGTTCATTTCCTTATAAATACTGACTTTATAAAATTTCACTTGCTTGGAATCTAAATATGCTTTTGCCAAATGGTGAAGTCAGCAAGCAGGGGTGACTTTAGAACATTGGCATAGTTTGTATCTAGTTACTATTCATTTACCATCACCTGGAGACTAATAGTCAGAGGAAATAAATAAGTTTTAAAAGCAAATGAGCCAATTTAAGTAACTCTGAAGATGTTCGTGGTCCATTGACTAAACCGCTTTGTTCAGCAAGGAAACAAAAACACCCAAGTTTATAAAGCAAGACTTCTTATTACCTCCTCAAAGGAAATATCCAAATCTAAGTCATCTTCCAATGTGTCATCATCCTCGCCAGCCTCTGTGTCGGTTGCATAATGGGGTCCATAGCGCCCACTTCCTGATTCCTCAGGACCTTCGGAGAGAAAGCAGCACCCTGCAGTCAGCATGTGCCTTTGCCCCCTTTTCCACCCTAACATAGCCCACATATAGCCGTACTGACTGGATGGAGATACATCAGAAACACACAAGGAATTCAACACAGAAGAGGAAGCAATGTTGAGCCAAAAATATGAAAATCATTTAATCTCATAAGTAATCAAGGAAAAGCCCATAAAAAGCAGAAAGAGCTGCCATTTTACACCAACAAGACTGGCAAAGACAAAAGTCAGACAATAAAAAATATTGCCAAGGGGATCTCCTTGGTGGCCCAGTGGTTAAGACTCTACACTCCCAGTGCAGGGGGCACGGGTTCACTCCCTGGTTGGGGAACTAAGATCCTACATGCCACACAGCAGGGCCTGAAAAAAAATGTATTGCTACCTTTAGACCATGAAATTTTTGCACCATGTTTTATGTCCCTGGATATGTTCCAGTGTCTGCTAGTTGACAGTCTATGGGAACTTGAACAGAATTTGTATCTTACTGTTGTGTGAAAATTGTATAAATCTTAATTGTTGAATTGGTTCATAGTGCTTTTCAGGTCTACTATATCATTCTACTTCTCTGTAATAGAAGAATCTTCTGTTACAGAAAAGTTATAATAGAAAGTACATGTATTCTATTAATTTTTGAGACTTCAATATTGAAACTCCAACTAAAAACCTTAATTTATCTACTTAAAAAAAGTAATTGTAACATATAGTGGAACTACAAGTAACCTTGTTCTGTACTTTTCAAGTCTCTTGTAAATGTGCTATCATATGTTCATAATTAAAAATTAAAAGTATAAAATGTACTGCCAAGGATGGAATCAATGGAGACTTATACTCTGATGTTAGATGTGGAAACTTGTATATCCTCTTTGCAAAACACATAGGAATACTTAATGAAGTAGAAAATGTTCATACCTTTTGACCTGGCAATCTCATTCCCACTTACAAAATATGGAGAAAATCTTTCCCATGTATATCAGGAGACAGGAGCATAACATGTTTGCAACATCGTAATTTATAATAGTAAAAAAGAACCTGCCAAATTTGCTATTTATAATAACAGTAACACCCCAAATATAAATCAACAGAGAATGGTATGGAGTGGAATACTATGTGACTGGGTAGATGAACGAACATTTAATTGAGGCATTAGTTGAGGCATTGGATAAACATTTAGTTGAGGCATTTAATGCATCAACATGGTTTAATCTCACATGATTTTATGCAGAAAAATGCAAGCTTTTGCATTTGGAAACTGGAACATACCAGTTTGATACCACTTATATAAAAATCAGCAGCAAGAAAAATTATATATTATTTAAGGATACATACACACACGCAGACTTCCCTTGTGGCTCAGACGATAAAGAATCTCCCTGCAATTCAGGAGACCCTTCTGATCCTCAGGTTGGGAAGATCTCCTGGAGAAAGGAATGGCAGCCCACTCCAGTATTCTTGCCTAGAGAATTCCATGGACAGAGGAGCCTAGCGGGCTATAGTCCACGGGACTGCAAAGAGTTGGACATGATTGAGCAACGAACACAAACATACATGTATATTTTTGGTGAGGGTACAGGACCCACTCAGATACCAATATCTGCAGATGCTCAAGTTCTTTATATAAAATGCCAGAGCACAATTGGCCCTTGGTATCTGCAGGTTCTGCATCCATGGATTCAACCAACCACAGATCAATATGGAAGACCCCTTGTGTATGTGGTTTAAACTCTTAAGAAAAGTAAAGCAGGGGGCTTCCTTAGTGGCCCAGTGGTTAAGAAGCCACCTTGCAATACGGGGGATGTGAGTTCAATCCCTGGTCAGGGAACTAAGACCCAACATGCAGTGGAGCAACTAAGCCCATGTGCCACAACTACTGAGCCTGTGAGCCATAATGAAAAAGACCCCACATGAAGAACCTGGGTGCTGCAATTAAGACTTGATGCAGCCAAATAAATAAATATTTTTTAAAAAAGAAAAGAAAAACAAGGCAATGATCAAAAATACCTGGGGAAGGTTAGAAGAGGACTATGAATGAAGTTGACATACAGGATCTTTGAAAGTACTCTAAAATATTCTATTTCTTAGGGTAGGTGCTGGATACCCATGAGCATTTATATAGTATACAAAAGCATAAACTAATATATGTATAAATACACTTTTGATGTACGAGATATTTCATTAAAAGTTCTTTAAAATAAGAAAGAGACATTATACTACAGCAAACACATCCAGAAAAAAAAAGGGGTCCCATGCGACATCTTGGGTCTCAACCATTTCCATCCATAGGACAGGAAGATCTTTCAAAACTGAAAGGTGGGCTGAGAAAAACTTGTAGGGGACAACACAGCGTATTGTTCCTTAGGGGATAGTCAGATTAACAGTTTTATTCAGCTGTCATCCAGAAAAATCTACTGATCCGAAGTCCCAATTTAGGCTACACACAGGAAGCCCTGCGCCCAGGTCTGAGAGTCTTTCAAAGTGCTGCTCGATAGCGCCCCCAAGTCCTCCTGGTGGTTTAGGGTAAGCACAGGTACCAGGGGCCATCCCTAATTCAGACACACCAGGCACTGAACTTTATGGCTGTAACAACTCTGGCAACAGAAACTGACTTTTTTAGGTCACTGATGCTCATTAGTTATTGAATGACTAGTAAAAAGAAAGAAAAATGACATTAAAAACATAAATTGAACTTAAAGACAAATCTGCTTTCAGAATAAACTAAGCCAAACACCTTTCTTGTAAAAGCAAACTCACCCTCCTCTCAGAAAAATAGCAAGTAGATTGACCATGAAACTGAAGGAAATGACAGAAAAGGAGTGTGGGAAGCCTGCTCAGCGGGCACACTGCTGACCAGACATCTTCTCCTGTCTTAGGAAGAGGAGCACGTGGTCTGCAGGTGATCCACAGATGGCAGGGAAGGTCCTCTTCTCAGGTATGAGGCATGTCTTGGTGGAGCTTTTCTCACCACCTCCACACCAGTTTCCTAGTTTTATTTAAAGCAGCCCACATGTCAGCTGAAAATTCAAGCCTGTTGGTGCCAGATTTATACCTAGATGCAAATTCTTTGAAGCCACCTGCATCCAGCCAGCACAGCTATGTGCCAGATGTGTACACACAAACATCCAAGAAGCCCCTGGGGACAGCTCCCCCTTCTCCTGTCTCTCTGCATCTTTGTGTCTTTCTATTTCTCTCCCTGTCTCTTTCGTCTCACCCCCATCACTCTCGATTTTATCTTTGTCTCTTTTATACTTTCAGAATGATTGAATTTCATTAGAAAGAATTCAAATGGTAATAAAAGAATTAATATAGCACATGCATGGAGAAAGAAGGATTTTATCTTCAGTAGGTGGGTCTCTGTACCTCCAGGGTGCTCACTCCTGCCCCCTGCACATTCTACTCATTGTTACATAATACTATTCTCATCAATGTCAAGATTCTCTGCATTTCATCTTATAATGCTCTACCTGGAAAAACATCTTCAGACTCCCACTGTCTACAAAATAGATGTTCAGGCTCTTTGGTCAAGAATTCAAGAATCTCAATGATCACAAAATCAGATTGATTATATCCTTTGCAGCCAAAGATGGAGAAACTCTATATAGTCAGCCAAAACAAGACCAGGAGTTGACTGTAACTCAGATCATGAACTCTTTGTAGCAAAATTCAGCTTAGATTGAAGAAGGTAGGGAAAGGCCATTCAGGTATGACCTAAATCAAATCCCTTACAATTATACAGTGGAAATGGCAAATAGATGCAAGAGATTAGATCTGATAAACAGAGAGCCTGAGGAACTATGGACGGAGGTTTGTAACCTTGTACAGGAGGTGATCAAAACCATCCCCAAGAAAAAGAAATGCAAAAAGGGAAAATGGCTATTTGAAGACACCTTACAAATAGCTGAGAAAAGAAGAGAAGTGGAAGGCAAAGGAGAAAAAGAATATTCCCATCTGAATGCAGAGTTCCAAAGAATAACAAGGAGAGATAAGAAAGCCTTCCGAAATGAACAATCCTGGAGAAGGAAATGGCAACTCACTCCAGTATTCTTGCCTGGAAATCCCATGGACAGAGGAGCCTGGTGAGCTACCGCCCATGGAGTTGCAAAAGAGTCGGACATGACTTGGAGACTAAACAAAGTGAACAGTGCAAAGAAACTGAGGAAAACAATAGAATAGGAAAGACTAGAGATCTCTTCAAGAAAATTAGAGATACCAAGGGAACATTTCATGCAAAGATGGGCACAATAAAGGACAGAAATACTATGGACCTAATAGAAGCAGAAGATATTAAGAAGAGGTGGCAAGAATACACAGAAGAACTATACAAAAAAATATGTTAATGACCTGGATAAACACGATGGTGTGATCACTCACCTGAGCCAGACATCCTGGAGTGTGAAGTCAAGTGGGCCTTAGGAAGCATCACTATGAACAAAGCTAGCAGAGGCAATGGAATCCCAGCTGAGCTATTTCAAATCCTAAAAGATGATTATGTTAAAGTGCTGCACTCAAATGCCAGAAAATATGAAAAACTCAGCAGTGGCCATAAAACTGGGACAGGTTCATTTTCATTCCGATCCCAAAGAAAGGCAATGCCGAAGAATGTTCAAACTACCACACAATTGCACACATTTCACATGCTAGCAAGGTCATACTCAAGATTTTCCAAGCCAGGCTTCAATAGTATGTGAACCAAGAACTTCCCAATGTTCAAGCTGGATTTAGAAAAGGCAGAAGAGCCAGAAATCAAATTGCCAACATCCACTGGATCATAGAAAAAGCAAGAGAATTCAGGAAAACATCTACTTCTGCTTCACTGACTAAGTTAAAGCTTTGGACTATGCGGAACACAACAAACTGGAAAATTCTTAAAGAGATGGGACTACCAGACCACCTTACCTGCATCCTGAGAAATCTGCATGCATGTAAAGAAGCAACAGTTAGAACTGGATATGGAAAAATGGACTGGTTTAAATTGGGAAAG